TGCTACAAAAATCCTGAAAGGTTTAAGGTTCCTTCAGCCAGCAGCTGAAGGGGTTGRATCAAAGTGATCATATTTAGTGCTGCTGACAAATCTATTTTTCGTGAATTTGTCTAATTCTTTTGAAATCAATGTCTGCTTTAGCCCATGGCAGTAACTTCCACAGCATTTTGGTATTTGTTACAAAAATGTAATTTTGGTCCTGTTTGCCCTGTTACCTCCTGATGTCACTGTGTTTTGCTGTCCCCATGTTTTGAGGGGTGATTATTTTCTCACCCTTTTAATCACGGATTCCTGACTTTATTTATTTCTTTATCGAACCACTTTTTGGCCATCTTTTCCCTAGCTGAAAACTCCCACTTATGACATCTCCTTGTAGAATTTGGCAATGACTGAATGCTTTTTCAATTAAACACAATACTTCCTAATGAAGCCATTTGCTCATTAATTCCTCTAATTCACCATTGGGAGAGTTGAGGTTTGTATGGATTTTTTATGAACTATGGGAAGGAATTTGGAAGGACTTACAGCATATGAAGTGYCAGAGTGTGTGAATTCTGAAGGTAAGAGAACATTTTTGTTGCCTGAGGAGTGGTGGTGATACGACACTAAMCTAGGGGTGGGTAGAAAGGAGAAAAACTCAGCTGGGGGCTGCCGTGTTCGTGGTGCTGTGCCTCTGGTCTGCTGAATTCCTGGTTGGATCAGCAAATGGCTGGGCTCAGCTATAACGCAAATGTCAAGAACCTCAGTGCAATGGAACTAGCAAAATCAATGTGGCAACGTGAAACATGGTCCATTTAGGTTTAAACATTTAGGTCAATTTCAATTAATCTTAGAGACCGTAGTGAAACAGTCATTTTCATCCCTCTTGTATGACATTTAGAGCCACCCTGACATTTTTCATCGTTATTATACCAAGCACCTTTACCTGAAGAAAACAAAATGTTTTGCTCGTGTTGAAGGGAAGTGTGCTGGAATTAAAAACWTTCAGAAAAACAGGAGAAATTAATTTTCTTTGTTTTATTCTGAATGAGAGCAAATGAGGAAAGGCCAGAATTTCCAGTGGCATGCGTGCATTCATTGGTATCTTGTGTTTATTATTGCTGTTCTGCATGCCTAATTTTYTGAGATGTGGCCAGCCTGGTTAGAAGCTACTGAACAGGGAGAACCAGCCCATGCAACACTGAGCCCTYGGCTTCATCTACCCTTTGGGATGCCTGTCTTTCCTTCAGTTTTGGAGCCCTTTCTGTGGGATGGAAAAATCAAAACTCTCTGTGAGAAGGCACAGTAAAAGCCTCCGCTCTTGGGGTTCTGGTGTTGCAGACCCAGAAGTCAGTCTTTACAAACAGGATACAAATCTGGACTTGGATTGTGGTTGAAGATGTGTCAATTTGACCAGAAATATGAAAGGGTGATCTCTCAGCTCAGACATGTGGCAGCTGTGGGTGTGGTGATCTCTCCCTCTTGACTCACAGGCAGTGCAGTGGGACCCTCCAAGGGAAATTGCACTTTTAGCAAATCAGGAAGTTTAAAGCTAAAGGCAGTGGGGAGATTGAAAAACAAATTGTCATGTGTTGTGGATCTGCTCYACTATGGGATGTGGAATCATAAATYTGGGTCTTGASTATGGCATTGCCATAGATTTGAGTGGGAGAAGGAGCTGCCTGTGAAAGCCTAAGGGATTCCCAACAGCAGAAATACTGCAGAAGTGACGGGTGGTGGTATTGTGCTACAAACTGTGAAACCATCACTATGGAAAAGCTGTCCTTTAAAATCAGAGCAGGTACAACTTTCCTTCTGTCACAGTTCCTATCTCACACTGTGCACTGATGTCACWGGATAACCTCAGCCAAGGTAGGAACACATTGTTCTGGAGGTCTCCCTAAGCACTGGAGGGAATCAGGAGCAGTTTCCTCCCTGGCTGCCTGTGCAGTGGTTACAGGACCAGCAGGGAATTTGTCAGTGTGGGCAGGACAGCCTGTGTGGCTCTGTGGGGTCAGTTCTCACCGCGAGCAAGGGGATGGAGSGTGGGAGAATGGACATGCGATCCATAATCTCGTGACTCACCTAGGCATCTGTAAATTCCTTCCTTTGCAGGATGCAGGGCTAAAAACCAGTGTAGGCCTAACTTACACCAAATGGGGATCTGGCCCAGATGTTACAGATTTTTCTGTGTCATGGTCTTTTCCAAAAAACTCCCTTAATTCCCTGACTGCTGTCAGAGCCCGGGCCTCTTCCAGAGGAGTTCTCCGTGGCATTGCCACTGCTCCTGTGCCAAGAGCATCGTGAGGTAACCCTGGTTCACACCTGCAGTGACTCAGGGGTGGATCAGGCCCCGTGGCTGATCCAGCTGCCAGCAAACTGCTCAGCATCTGCTGCGAGTTGGCAGAGCCTCACCAAGTGCCAACGATGTCTCCACAGGCATTGTGCCACCACCATGAGTGGCAGCATTTCCAAACTTCAGGTCACGAATTCCTGGCTCTTTATATTTGAGCCTGCTGTTTCAAAAGAAAAGAAAGAGCCAATATCATTGCTATGTTCTTACGCTGAACACCTCACTTGTGATAGAGCAGCTGATTGTTTAATTGCCCACTTAGGTCAAAGTGTGCCACTTGGAGTTCAATTCTAAAATTTGTTATTGCGACTTGTACCTCAAGAAGCAGTCTTCCTCTGCTCTGGATTCATCAGGATCTCTTAATCACCTTTGGAAACATCTCACATGTCTCTGGTGAAGACCAGTGCTCCCCAGAGCCATCGTGTTTTCCATTCAGCCTTTCCCTAAGGACTTACACAGCTTCAGCTGCTCCTGGTCTACTACGAGACRTGAGCTTAGCTCCTGGCCCTGGTGGTTTTTGGTCGATGTGGAAGGTGGTGAAGGGTRGAGCTATTTCCCTCACAGCTCCTACACATCACTGTGGCTATSCTTTCCATCCCAGGCCTCATGGCTTCCCAGGTCTTTGAAGCTTTGTTTTGGTAGGGACACCGATGCAGTGAGGTCTGTGGTGTGCATTTTTGGATTGATGGGCAAGTCATGCCCTGCATGGGAATGAGGGTGTGGGAGATCAGAAGGAAGATGAGAGGAAAATGTCTGTGTGTGCAAGATGCTGTGCAGGGCTGTAATTGGTGATCCCAAAGGGCAAACACCACAGTCACAGCAGGGATATCCRCACAAGGATGCTTTCAGATTAAAGTGCCCTGCTCTACAGTTTCCCTCACAGGCAGCAGATGAATTACCCTGCAACACCTTTAGAGTGGTGGATACTCGGTCCTGTGGCCTCAACAGCAGAAGTTCTGCCTGCAGGGATAAGAGAGCTCTTTTTCTGCCCTTGGTGCTCTGTGGGTTCTGGGAGCTGGTTCAGCCAGCTGTGTAACTCCTGAGAGACAGAGGGAGGGGTGTAACTCCTGAGCTGGCTTGAGGGATGCAGGGAGTCTTGGGGGAGATTCCCACAACAGGGAGCCTTCTCCTCTGTCAGGATGTCCATGTCCTTGAATTTTCCAACTCTCTGCTGAGGTACAAGAGAATCACACCATGACCAAAGTGGGTGCCTTTACCTCTGCTGGTCTCAGAGTCCTCTGTGCCGGTTGCCATTTTGCCCAAAGCAATGAGAACTCCTGTGCTAAACCATGAGCTCTTGTGTTTTGACCCAAAAATGCAGTGACCAACTGTGCTGAGGAAAGCTCAGGAAAATCCAGTCCCCATCCAGGACATCCACAGCCGTGGACTCCACTTACCACTGCCAGGCCCWCTGAGAACATCTGGGGTCTGACCACTGCTGTAATGAATAAATGTACAAATGCAGAGTTGTGTCCTTGATGGAGGGGTGAGAGATAAAGCTGTGCCAGGGTGAGAGTCACAGGTCATCTTTGAAGACCGAAGAGCAAAGTAATCAATTACCACAAGCCTGCCCACAGGCCTTTCCTAAATCTGGCTCCTTTCCATAGCAGAAATAATACAATGTCCTTTGCCAGGTAATTTTCCAAATGATTATTTTAAATAATAYGTTGCTGTGATCCAGCAAAAGAGTTTGAAGATTTATGGGAGCATTTGTCTCCACGAGGAAGAGCAGCCGTGAACTCTGCGGGCTGGCAGCGAGCAGCACGGGGCAAGTGGCACATAAAATACTCCAGTGTCTCATCTCTCAGGTCCACTCTGTCTGGAGAAACAGGAGACAGGGACGCAGATCTCATCCCTCAGCACTGCTGCCAGCATCCCAGGTCACCAGGCAGATGGTGCTGGAGCTGCTCTGAGCTGGGAGGACACACGGGGGGTGGTGGTGATGGATTGCTTCTCTGCCTGCCCAGGGCAGGTCTGCACAAAAGGCAGAGGATGTTTGTTGGTRCTGGATCCATTGCCCCTTCCTGTGGTAAAAGCTGAGACAAAGCCCTGTTTTAACAGCCTGGCTTGGAAATGAAGGTTGTGATGTTGCATAGAAACCAATCCAATGAGCCCTGGACAACATTTGTGGATGCTTCAGGTTACTCTGTGCTTGTGCCAGAATAATTTTATTTGTRTCTTTATTTTCTTGTATTTTTTAAAGCAGAATTAGGATATCTTAATCCAAGRGTGTTTTTGATGATTTCTTGCCTGTTTCTTGGATTTTGGAGTGAAGGGAGCAAATCCACAGTTGCTTCAGGGCTGACAGGTGCCTTACAAACAAATAGCTGGGCTCTTTCCTCTTAACTGGGACCCTGAACAGCTGAGTCTGGTGGAAGGTGTCCCTGCCCATGGCAGGCACAGGACCACTTTTAAAGTTTCTTCCAAGCCAAACCATTCTATGATTCTATGATTAAATAGCCTGTGATGGTTTTGTAGTTCTGAGGAGGTGCTTCTAGTGGGATTTGGCAGATGCTGCTGCCAGGGTAGAGTAAAAGAGCCTCAGTGAAACTGAGAATCCACCCTGTGGTTTAGGAAGGGAAAACGACACATCCTGATGGAAACATATGGCCAAAAAGTGCATGTCCTCATCATGATAATGGCATTTTCCTTCTCTTTCTTTCTCCAGGTTATCTTGCACCCCGAAACCTTCCCAGCGCAGGCTTCTTCCCGTTCCTGCAAACGGTGCTGTGTGATTCCGATGCCAGGTGTAAGGGCACACCATACACACCAGAAGATCTGCTGCCAAGACTTAATGAAATCTCATCCCTCAGACTGTAAGAGAATCTGAATATTTCCAGGTGTTAGAAGCTGTAAAACAAAGCCTGTTTTGAGGGGAGGGAGCATCCATGCGCATCTCCATGTATGCACGAGTTTGTCCACAGCAGATACACCTCAGCTGCCTGTTAAAACAATACCTGACATCTAGAAATGAGGATGTCAGCTGCAACATGGACACTTCACAAATAATCACATTAGGGCCAGCTCTCAGGAATGTGCCCAYTGATTCAGGCTTGAATCTTCTGCTGAACAGAATTTTGCTCCCTGAGTAAAACACTTCAGCTCACTCAGATCAAAGCAAAGGAGCTCTTTTTTTTGCATTCCTGTGGGTCAGATCAGTGGTAAGACCTGCCCTCACAGCAGCCCAGAGTGCTGACCTGGCACTGAGGAGGATCAGTTGAGGATGCTTTGGCTGAAAGTTTGGATGTTCATTCTGGAGCAAGTGCTCTTTGAGCAGGTCCTCCAGGTGCCAGCCAGAACAAGTGTCCTCTCTGCAGGCCATCAAACGTGTTGAGAAACAGGTGAAAATGCTGAAACAATTTTTGCCCACACAAGCACAGAGATTTGCAGCATGGAGCTGGCTGGGCATGTTTTGTTGGAACATCAGTTTGCTGAAATGGGAATGTTCAGTGGGGGCATTTCAGTTTCCTGATGTTCCAATTGAAGCCAAGTAGCTTTTGCTTTGAGGCATGCCAGCCAGGGTGGTTTCTACATCTTGGCTGCCCAGTTCTGACACACCCCTGGGGAACAAGCCATGCTGAGGCTGAAAATCTGGGCACCTCACAATGGCCCTGGTTGCTCATCTTTGCTTTCAAGTGACAGGCTGCTCTGTAGTGGTTATGTCAGAGCCTCAAAATCCCTCTTGGCCAGAGCTTGAGTCTGAAGAACTAAAATGCTCTCTCCCCACCAGAGAGCACATCAGGCAGGATGGGGTTGGTGGCTCCTTAAGGATCCTCCTTAGTGCAGAGGGCGTGTCATTTCCCAGGCCAAGTCAGTGGTGAGAATCTCTCCATGGGTGGGAAGGGTGACTAAGGATGGCTGAGATTGCACAAGGTGAATCCTAATCAAATTCAAGGTCGTGCAGCAGAAGAGAAGAGGGAAGGCATAGCCACATGGAGATTGGATGCCTGGATTCACAGCTTCTTTCCTCAGCACCATTGTTTTTCCCTGGCCATGTTAAACAATGGTTCATTAGGGATATTGAAAGGAAGAAATGGGAGCTTCTAGTGCCAAAGCTGGAGATCTTCCATGGGTTTCAATAGCTGYAAATCCTCCTTGCTTTCTGTTTTTGGTTTCTGAAAAGCTGTTTAGGAAGTAAGTAGTTTTTCCTGCCAAATGAAAATGAAAGGATTTGGCCAAATTTTAGATCAAGAACATGACTCATTAACAAGCRTCTTGATCACTTGATGCTCGAAGTGGTCTGTGTGAAGTATCATTACAGCTCTGTGGCCATACCTACCCTTGCATGATCAGTGTCAGCCTTAGGAGAAATACCAACTGTGAAGTAGCTGCAGCAAAACTAGCAGAATTTGGCAGAGTCTAAAACCTCAGGAAAAGATTTCTTGGGAAGGGGAAAGCTCCAGATGAATAGGTGCAGCTCTGCCTCAGGAGCAGGATCCCCATGGGTGAATTTGTCACAAAGCTGTTTGAGCTGTGGCCCTTCACTACCTGGATATATTATTTTGTAATATTCAKCTAATCCAGGCTTGTCTCCTCTCCCATTGTGCAAATCACTGAAGCTCTTACTAAACTTTTTTATAACTTGCCCTAAAACTGTGTATAACCAGTGGTCAGCAGAGAAAATGGGCAAGGCTCTCACCTTTGATTCTATTCCTTAGAGACATTTACCAAGGTGTGCAAGGTGTGGTTGCTTGAGATTTCCCTTAATAAAAGGGAACTGAGTCCAAAAACCAGGCTCAACATGGACTTCTTCCACCCTTTTGTCYTCTAGTGAAATGTTTGGGAAGGATGAATTAAGATCCTGTTGTCTGGAAGGATTTCTTGGTGTGCACTTTATAGCCACGGAGTTCTGTACTTTTGCTTTCCCAAGTTATGTGCCAGGCCTCCAGAAGGAACCATGCTTTTGCATAACCTGGATTTCAACACACCTGCCATGAAATCCAGCCATAGACACATTCTGAGTTAAGGCAATAAAGTGTAAGTTAATGATAAGAAATTCTTGGAGTTGTTACAGGGATCTCTTTTTTCCCCTTTTTCTTTTTTTTTCTTTGCCCCAGCAAGCCCAAGAGCTCATCCAGTGTAACCAAGGACAAGCAGCCATCACCATGGAGTGCAGAGGTTCCTGAAAGCAGAAATGCTTCACTGGGTAGGTTATTCTCTTCTCTGGGRAGTTCTGCTCTTTGAAGGCTTTGAATTGGACAGAGCTGCAATTCTTAGAGCACTGCTAAAATGATTTATGTGTTTCATAGAGGCACGTGACCATGGCCATGACGTTAGTGTAAATTCTTGGGAGCAAGTACAAGTAACTGTCCATARAAAAGACTTTGAAAATCAGCCAAAAAACCAGGATTAAATGGTTGTGCTTCACAGGAGCAATGCAAGATCATAGATTGATTGGACATTAATTAGAGACCTGGCTATTTATGGAATATTGCCCTTTTACTACCCACAAATTCTCCATAAACACCTTCTGATTTTTTTTCAAATGTGTTTTATCCATGGTTACCCAGCAAATAAGTTGTCTTCTGTGCCAGAGAGGATATTTATTGTTGATGATGTTCTCCTCTGATGATGTGATTCTCTTTCCTGAAGGAACTTTCAGACTGAAAGTTTCCATAAAATCATTACAATTATTATTTATTGATGGTAATGGCTAGTACAATCTGCAAGCCCTCATGATGGATAGTCCTTTCTGCAGGGAGCTCACGATGAATTGAATGATTACAGATTTGCATTTGCCTGTTCTGCTCCAGCCATTCACTGTTGCAATTAGCATTCCTGCCAGCACCCTCTGTGGTGCACAGACAGAAAAAGGCAGAATGCAAAAGGGACCAAGTGCAGAGGTGTGGGGTGGGGGARGTAAATCAATGAACAGTTATGGGAACTATTGACTGCTGTTGATGGTCAGGGAGGAACTCAGTTCTGCATTTTATTTTTAAAAAAATGTAAAAAATTATAGGTTGTGGCCTCATGTAACAAGTTACAGTGTCACCCAGAATTTAATTATATCAGAAAAAAAATCCAAAAGTACTTTCAGGATGCCATTGGCTGTTCCTTTGGAAACAGATTAATAATGATCGTGCACCCAAAGCTGTAGGCAGCTGTCCTGTGTCAAGGTTTTATGTAGCAAAGAGGTTTTAAAATACATAAGTARAAAAAAGTGTTTCAAATTGTTATTKCAGCATTTGGGGATTCGGTATCTCATGGAGAAAAAAGCCTTCAGAATATTTCATCACCATCCAACTTGACCTCCAGCATSAACATGTTCAACAAGATCCTCAATTTTGGGAAGGTAAGTCTGTGTTTGCATAATAGCTGAGTGTGAACATTTATGTATCCTCATATTTAAAGAATTAGAAACTCAAACGTACCAACACACAGCTTTTATTGCTTTCAGATCTTCTCTGTTATGTGAATGAGCTTTATTTTGGGAACACAGTGATTGTGGGTGGATTTTTAATCTTTGTGGTGATTTTATTATCCTCTAGGCAGAAACCAGGCAAACTTTGGGACATAATGCCATGAAATACAAAATACAGTCACAAACAGTATCCTGGGATATTTTGTTCAGAACTTGTGGGAGTTAAGGTGTTTACAGTATATTTCCTTTCATATGAAATTAAAAATGCAGTGTCACAGGCTTTGACATTCAGATGTTTATTTGCCCACAATAGTCCTGCAGTGGCATAAGAGGCATTGTTATATTTGTTATGTAGGTATTGACTATTTATAGGATCAATTCCTTTGTGACAGAAATTTGGTACAATGTGATGGCCACTGGGTTTGTGKTTTGGTGTCAAGGCCCACAAACACTCATACACACATTTCTCTTTATAATATTTGAGGAGTTTGAGGGATTTTAGTGACACTTTTCTGCTGGTAGAATTTTGTCTGTGTCTAAGTGCTTATAACTACAATGCTTTATAGCTGTCACTGCTATCCCTTAAAAAAAAGCCTCCTCRCTGCATTTGAAATCATCCCAAATACAATCTTACTTTACAGCTACTCTGAATGTTTTGTTGTTCTTTCAGAACCAGACCCAACACTCCACTGCAGAGAATCTCAGAGTCCTCCTGTGCGAGGTCTTGGCGCGGTAYGTGGCACATCCCGGTGCCACAGGAGGGAGCATGGCAGCCAATATCCACCACACCTTCTGCTTCACTCACTCATCACTTCTGGGGTCTTTTGCCCAGGAGTTCAGGAGCCAGCTGTCCCAGGTGAGTGCCCTGGGTACTGCAGCTGGGGGCTGTAGCAGTTCACACATCGGGCAGTGTTTGGGAGCGATAACACAGCCCCTCCTGGACAGGAGTTGCTCATCTCTGTACCCAAGTTCATGCAGTGCACAGTGAGGCTGAGTTAATTCTTGTGCATGGGGCTAGTCCAAAGGCCTCCAAGCTGAGTGCACAGCTCAGAAAGCCAAGAATCATCCAGCCATCAGCTCATGGCCACTGAGGGTTCTTACCACGCCTGGGCCTTGCTTCTTCTCTTTGCTTGCCCTGCTGCGGTGACAGCTCAATAGAACAGCATGAGGATGTGGTGTAAATGAGAATGTTTAAACCTTGGGAAGGCAATAAATTTAATTGTGTATTACCTCAGCTGTATAACTTCATCCAGTGACTTCTGCATCTGATCCAACAATTCATGATTGAAGCAGTACTTGTCTTTGGGAAAGCAATATAATTAATGCAGATTAATCCTTTAAAGGTAAAACCTTCTCTTTTTTTAATTTTTTTTTTTTTTTTTTGCTTTGCCAAGGTGAGGATTGTTATTCATTTTCTTCAATTCCTAGTCTTTGGACTCTTTAGGACATTGTGAATTGTAGGGCTTGTCTGAACGGAGAATTTATTGTACAACCTGGGGTGTGAAGGTAAAGCACAGTCACACTCTCAGTTATCGCCTGACATGAGAGTCCTTTGARTGCATTGCTTGCAGACTTGCATGCAGGTGCAGTGCCAGCTGAAAAACATAAAAGGACCCCCCAGCAGCAGGGCTTCTTGTTATTAAGTAATTTCTTCTGATTCTTAAATAATTTTTATGTGTTTATTTGTTAAGGTGCAGCACAACCCACAGTACCAGGAGACATTTGTCAATGAAATGGTCTCGTTTCTGACACTCATCTCCCAAGTGCAGAATGACACCTCMCTGTGGCATCTCCTCTTGCTGGCTCCAGATGTGTTCCAGGACAACATGCGGCTGCGAGACATAATTGATTTCCTGCAGCATCCAAGCAGGTAAAATAGAGGAAMTGCCAGGTGAAGCACTGAAATTTGGTGGATTTGTGTATTGGCCTCTGAGGGCATCCCTCTCCTCCTGAAGGAAGGATGCTACTGTAAAAGCATGGTTTGTTTGGGGAGTGATGCAGCTCCACACTGATACATCTCTAAAGGTGTCTGTGGCCTCTGAGCAGTGTGTTGTTTTTCAGTGACTCTCATCTCATTCTTTTCATGGAAGCTTGATATAAACTCTTTGATTTTTCTTCCAGCCTGCTTAGAGGCACTCTTATGCCCTTGTGCAGATAGAAAAGCTGGTGAGTCACAGGCYTGCCTTTGGTGGAAGAAAGGCCCTCCTGGCTGGACAAAGAAAGCAGCTGGCTGCTTCTTTCCAGACAAGCTCAGAGCCAAGTTCAGGTTGCTTTGGAACACCTCTAGCACTTGTAGGAGAGCCATCATTTTGGTTATTAAAATTGATTACCTAATCTCCTGCTGGTTTAATCTTTCAAGATTGGTCTCAGGAAAGCAGAGAAGGAGCCTGTTTTTTTAACTCATGGCCTTTAACATCTGACTTGAAGAAGGAAGTGCCAGTTATGTACTTGCTTAATGGTTATATGAAAAACAGAGCTGGCTTAACTGCGTTATTTAACTGTACTGAAATATTTGATGCAGTTTGCAGATAGAACAATACAAACTTCCAAAGTGGACTTAGCTTGAAATCTCTTTCCTGGTCTGTAGTTGGGCTAAACTCTCCCTGATCTCCAGAAATTCAAGATTGAGGGACTCTGTTCTAAGTCTTCTTGATGTGTGACCCTGCTATAAAATACTCTGCATAGTCCAGTTGTTACAGTGCATTGCACACCCCAAGAAACTGAGTGTGTTCAGTCTGCTTTTTGTTTTTATCTTGCATACATGCAAATTTGAGTAAAAATGTCAAAAGAGGTTGTGGAAGCTTTGCCACTTTGATTGCACTTTGAGRCTTAGAGGGACTCACTTTTCATCATTGGTGTGTTGCCAAGGCACTTAAAAACCTGTACATTTAATATCAAGATAATTTTCCATGCTGCATGGTGAGACCCATGTGTAAGTTGCAATGTCCTTATCCCTAAAGGAGTCAGTAGCAGTGTGGCAAGAATTGTAATTTTATTCAGAAATGTTTTTGTTTTTTGTTCCTGCTGCTGTTTCAGTCACAGGATTATTGCATTGTTTGCGTTCACTGGCCCTCAGAACCCAGCCTGAGAACCAGCCCTGTTTGAGTGCCCAGGGAGAATTAATATTTACTGTGCTGCTCTGCTTGGCTCTACAGCTGCAGAGCTGGGCAAAGTTATCATAGGCACGACAAAGAGGCACATAGAATTTCATCACCAGAACTGTGCAGTGCTTTTATGCCTGGCATCTGGCACTGTAAATGCATGAGTAAAGAGTTATTGCARAGAGATTGCACAAATAGAACTTTTAATGATGCTTACAAAAGCACATCTTAGYGAGCCTGGCCACGTCTCTTGCTCAGGCAGTACTAAACTCCTAAAGAAGTGCTGTACAGGGAATTTTTTTTTTTTGTGGTATAAATAGGAAAGTGTAGAAGAAAAGGACTTTTTCTCATTGTGACATCTGTATTAACCAAATGATAAACACCACCACTGCAAAGCAGTAACTTCCAAGTTGTGAATTCTATAGAAAGTTTATGAGCAAATTTTATTACTCACAAAAATCTATTTTGCAGACTGATTTCACAAATGTTCCTKTTTGTTGCTTTAAGATAGTTTTTCAGCTAAACACGTTAGCTGAGTTTTTTCTCCACAAGCAAAGTCTGCAGAAGCCCTGCAAGACTGAAATAAAAGGGCAGCAGCAAYGCTTGTTTCCATGTTTGCTGCCTTCTAATCTGCATGATATGCATCCCTTTCTGGCAAGCCTGTGTCTGCCTCCTCCTTGGCTCTTCCATTGCTCAGCTAAATATGGCATTTATAAGTGAGCTTCTTCCCCTCTAAGACTCTTACAAGCACATCTGCAGAATGAGAATGATGAGCACCAAGCCCACAAAACCTGCATGGAGACATTATGTTAAATTAGGAGGGAAGAGATCCTGGTGCTCTGTTCTCAGCAGCAGTCTGGTGCCACAGATCAGTATGTATTTATTCATGCCACGGAGATCAGCACAGCCAGGTTCTTTGTGTATCACCTGCAGAACTTCAGGCAGGTGAGAGAGAGATGGTGCATTTCAGTGACCCCACACCTGCAGTGAAGAGCTGCTCTTTGTACAGGAGAAGCAAAAGGGACTAATAATAACAGTGAAGTTTTCAGTAACCTGCACACCTGAGCAGGCAGTGCTTTAAATGACTTCCTCTGTGATACAGTATGCCTGATTATCAGCTCGTTCCTTCCTAAGAGTGAAAAACATTCCTTGCTTCCCTGTCAGCCAGCTATTACAGCGTAAAAGAGGAAAGAAGAATTGGAAATGGCAACAGTTTGTGATTGCTTCTTCCTTCTGCAGATGTTTTTCCCCTCGGGATCCCTGCTCTCCCTGGAGCCTTGTCTCCTTGATTCTTGTTTTTTTTTAGGAGGAAATTCCCCTGCAGCAGTGAGTTCCATGGCTGGTGTGTCACCTGGGTGTTTTCTGAGACCTGCTGGCAGGATTTAAGTGGCCTGTACATTTTCCATAACTCCCTGAATAAGTGCATCTAATGAGTGCCACATGTGTGTTTGTGCTAATATACCACCATGGCTTTCCCATCAAAGSCCCTGGTGTTTTTATTTTGTGCATGATCAAACAAATAATTAAAAATAGGGGCGATGTCTTATCTGTCAGACATTTTAAGAATGATAGGCAGTACTCCAGCTGTTTCCTATTAGAACATTTGTTTCATTTCTTCTCATAAGCTGGTAACCACAATTTGTTTTTCTTTCTTTGGCCCCCCTCCCCTCCTTTAGTGTTGTGCAGGCAGCTCAGGATGTCTCTGCCTCTCATGTGAGTGATGATAGATTCAAAACTGCTCAGAATGGGGCTACAGATTCTGCACGTTCCCTGAACTGCTTGGAGCAAGGTAAGACACCTCCATTGAGTCATATCTCTGCTGAAAACCTGTGGTGCTGAGGAGAAGCAGACTGCAGGCTAATAAGTAACCATACAGATTGCCCACTGTTCAGGGCTCAGCATAATGGATTCCTCTTTCAGCTTTTTACAAATGTGAATCGAATGCCTCATTTCAAACAGAAAAGTAAAAAAGCTTGGGTTTGTCAGCAGACAATGAATTAACATGAGTTTGCAGCCTCAGTGGAAATGGGGAGCAGTAATGTTTTTACCTTGATTTGCTCTTTTGGGGGGTGATGTCAAAATCCGCCTCTGGTAGTGGGCTCTCTCAAATTCACCTCTGTGTATCAAGGCAGGGGCTGGGCTGCACAATGAGTTTTTTACTTCCAGCCATTCCTTTAAATCTCTGTCCCTTCCAGCAGAGACAGTCCTGGATATACCCCCTTAACTGGGGATCTGTAGACTGGCCAAGGAAAAGAATAGCAACTAAATGCTACAAGGGACAGATGGGAATGCTGTCCCTTATCTGCTTGATTTGTGGAAGTTGTGGAAGTTGAGGTGGATAAGGAGAAAGATCAGGGTTTTCCAAGTAGGGAAAACATGGAGATGTGGCTGGTGAGAAGAGTGGACACGTGGGGATATCAAGATGAGTGTAAATGGCTGTGGGAGACATAAACGATGCTGCAGACAGAGCTTATGTGTGAGCAGTAAAAAGCAGCCCTAAATGAAGGGAAAGAAACCATAATAAATACTTGGCCACCTTACCCTGTATTACTGATAGCAAAGTGCTCCTGAGGCAGGAGGAGACCTCTATTAGCATCCAGATCACCGGGGCRTTGAATTGTTTCTGAATGATTTCAGCATGGGTAATAATTTCTATGATGCCAGGCASCATCCTCACTTCCTTCAGAAGGCCAGGAAGAGTTGAACCCCACAAGAACACTCAGATTTCTGGCCAGGATGTTGTGGCTTGTGGTAGGASCCTAACTTTGTAGGTGCATATTATCCTGAATAGATCTGCCATTATAGCACTTTTCAGGCTCCAAAATTGCCTGATCTTTACTAATACACCTTTTACRTTTTTGTCGTAGATAAAGAAAAAAGTTGGGTGACCAGATCTATTTGTAATTTCTTTGTTCACTGGAAAGACAATCAGACTTTATTATCTGAATTGGAGGAAGTTCTAAGGTAAGACATTAGCTAAAGGGATATTACTAACAGTGTAATTCACATCTATGATCTTTGCTCTAAATCACCTTACATTTTCACTTGCATTGATTTCATATTCACTAAAATACTTTTTTGTTCCCCTCCAGAAAAATAAAGTCACCAGAGATTGGTGGAAAGCACTCCAAGAGGTCCATTAATTCAGATGATTTAGAAGCCATACAAAAGCATCTACATCGTTTAACAGGCTTTGAGGAAAAAATGAATAGAAGTGAATTAAAAAGCTTAAATCTATTCAGAAATTTGAAGAATGAAACATTACAGACATTGTATGCATTTCTTGAACTGGGAATGAATCCACATCATGATTATAAATTAAAGGAACCATATAATAAGAAAATAATTGATGAAATCTATAASTTCACATCACTGCAATTACAGAGTGACTTTAATGGGACTTCCATTTTCAATACAATGACCCACTGGAAAGAAATTCAGAGCGCTTTAAAATTAGCTACAATGCTTTGGAATTCAGCTCTGCTAAATAATTCTAATTTTAGTACATTGCAAACTAAGGATGCTCTCAAAATGTTGCTCTCCACWAGCATGCCATCACTTCTGGAAGAACTCAGAGACCATTTAAATGGAATGCAAGAAATCCCTTCTGTGTTTTCTGATGATCTGCTTGACCCTGAGACCTACAGAAACTTCCCAGAGCAGCTCCTAGCTCTCCAGAAGATATTTTTTAGACTCACAGGCACAAATGCAGGGTATAAGTACTTCCTGCTGCCTGTGTTTGAGCTGATGAGGGCTGTAGAGAAGTCCATGGGTGAGGCCTGGTGGGATGAGTTGAACATCTACTGGCGCACTGGGGAGAAACTGAGATCCATGAAGTGGAATARCACAGCCATCATCGCCTATGGGCAGTTTTTGGACGTGTTAAACAGCCATTTGCAAAAGCTGAATAATGCTTCGAGTGGTGTCTTCAGTGAAAAATTGGATCAGCTGTCAGAATTTATAACAGCCGTGTTTAAAGAGTTTGGGGAAAGCTCTGGGGTAGCCAATATYTCACCAGTCACTCAAGCCATCCAAAAGACGTTGTACATATTAAAAGACTTACAGCTGAATTATAATGTCAGTAAATTAAAATCTATAGATCTTTTCTTTAATTTTGACAATAAAACCTTCGAGAGCTTGTCTGAACTTCTGAGGACAGGAATGAAAATCCTTCATTATACAAGTGCCAGTGAAGGTTCCAGTGAAGACATAATTAACTCCATCTATAATTTAACACATCTTCTACTGCAGGAGTTCAGCCAGTCTTCCTTACAGCACAATACTTCACTACCGGCAAAAATTTGGGAGTTCTTGCATTTAGCTTTGAGTCCTTTCCTTGAGGACAGCAAGAATGGCTATGGGACACTCCAGAATTGCTCCTTGGAAGATCTGTTCCATGTAGCCCTTGAGGTGCTGTTTGAAAATGCCACTCTAAGGGAGTCCTCAGCCAGGAGTCCCTGCAAGCCCCTCTTGGATTCTTTGGGCATGGAGGGTGAGACAGGGAGCAATGACACCTTTGCCAGGGTGTTCCAGCTGGCCATAACCAACCTGAAACTGTCCCCAGAGTTTGCTGCTGTCTACAAGAACAGCAGTGAGGGCTTTTTCAAGGAGCTGTCGTGCATCACCCAATCTCTGCATTTTTCTCTGAGTTTCCTTTCCAAGTTAAACCTTGTTTCTGAGCTGGAAAATTCCTGGCTCCAGGAGAAGGTGAGATCTCTGAGTGCAGTCACAGAGGGGCTGCTGCAGAGTGGTGCCTCGTGCCCCATCCCTGCCCAGGATGTGGATGAAGTGCTCCCTTCCCAGCTTTTGCATGTTCTCCTTCCTGTCCTGCTGGATGAAATGGTGCTGAGCTCCCTGAATTTCTCTGACAGCTCAGCAGACTGGCATGGGTTGCCTGTGTTTTCCCATCTGGCACCMCCTGCTTCCATGAGGAACAGCAGTCTGTACGAGCTGCTGCAGGTGGGCAGAGCTGCTTCCAGCCAGCCCGAGTGGGGACACTTCTCCCGACTGTGGCACGCCACTGGCARCCTGCTGACCTCCAAATGGAGCCTGACAGAGGTGGGTGAATATGTGAAACTCCTGCAAATGATGAAGAAAGCTCTAATCCTTGTGGACTTGGGGGTAGGTCCTGGAAAAGCRTTGATGCATCAGATCTTTCATAATTCTACTGAAGGAATTAAATCCTCAGATCTGAGTGACTTGTATAGTTCATTAAAACTCCTTTTCAGTTCCACTTCTGCCACAGACAGCACACTGGACTTGGAAAGAATATTTCAAGAAACACTTCCTCTGTATGAAGGGGATGGTGAAGGATTGTTCTACTCTAATCCCTATGGAAAAGAAAATCACGATGTTCTGACTATGGCTGCAGTCATTTGGAATAAGATAATTTTAAACAGGGCTCATTTCAATACAGAGAATGCATGGGAGGTTATCAAAATGATTGCACTTGATGCAATCTCACTTGAAGACATTGAGAATTATCTCAGCACAAATGAAAAAGTGTCATCATTATTTTCTGACTTCTTATTGACCCCTGGAACTTCTGAAAATTTTGCRGAGCACCTTTTGTCCCTTGAGCAGCTTCTTGGTGCCATGGCAAAGGTGAATACCAGTGATCATTATCTGCTGATCTCTTCTTTGTCTAAGATAATGAAGAAACTCCAGAGTGTCCATCCTGGAAGGCAGGAAAATGGACTTGGTGCTTTCTGGCATATTGCTGAAGGTCTCTGGTCCTTGAACTGGAATAGTACAGACAGTCTCACTGCCCAGTCACTTCTAGACATACTGCAAAATCTGTTAAATGCCACAGAAAATGACTCCAGTCTTCCTTTCAGCAAGGAACTGAAGCAACTGCTAGATTTTGTGTCCTCCATCTCTGAGCTGTATGGTGAAGGAGACACCAGAGGAACCAACATCACCAYGTTCTTGCAGGCCGTGCAAAAGAGTACCTTAATTTTAAAAGATTTGCAGRAAAGGTTTAACATCAGTGAGCTTGAAACTATCAGCCTGTTACTTGATTCTTACAGTAACTRTACCCAGAGACTGATGGAAGTGTGGAGAGCAGGAATGAAAGTTCTTCATGACACCAACTTAAACAAAACATTTGAGGAAAAAATGGACGTTGTCYATAACTTCTCACATTTGCTGCTGCAGGAGTTCAGCCAGTCTCCCTCACAGCACAATGTTTCAYTACAGGCAAAAATTTGGGAGTTCTTGCGATTAGCTTTGAGTCCTTTCCTTGAGGACAGCAAGAATGGCTATGGGACACTCCAGAATTGCTCCTTGGAAGATCTGTTCCA